ATAGGTACATCATAATTGTTTGACTTGTTTGCCTTTTAATTTAAAATTTTTTGTACGTTTATTAAAAAGAATTAAGAATTTCAGCATTGAAATAATGCATGCGTGTGTGTGTGTGTGTGTTAAAGAGCAGGAAAATACGTGTGCTTACTTGTATGTCTAAGAAAGAGTGTGTGAGTGTGTTTGCATGTGTGTTTGTTGTTGTTTGTAAATCTATGTGACATTCGAAAATATTTAGCAAGCGGACGAACCCGATGTTTAAAAAATTGAAGATTTTAAAATAAGTTATTTATTTTGCGGGCGTTTTGATACGATTGAACACAATAGTACATTTGTGTTTGTTTGTGTCTGTGTGAGTGTGTGTGATTGTGTGTCGAGTGTGCTTCTAGTATTCTGGTATGTATTGTTATGTAGATAAAATGATAATGAATGACACTGTTTATGAATGCGTAACTCTCTTTATAATTTCATTCTCCACGCAGATGAATGAGATCGTTTTGAAATGTTCATTTTTATTGAAACTACATTCATTTATTAGCTAAAAGAACAGTACTAACCATTGCGCAAGAGTGTGTATCTATTTATGGATATATATGGATATTTATAGATATATTTAGAGATATCTTGAGTTATTTATTTATATTTAAAGATTTTTAAGGATAGTTATGGTTAATTAAGGACAGCATCATTACAATGCAAAAGATTTTGTATCGTCTGAGTGATGAAAACGAAGATTACGATGATTAAATTTTTATAATAATTTTGCATAAGGCATGAATGTGAATGTATTAGCTGGGCGAGTTGTGTATATATTGTATGTATTGTTATTCATGTGTGTTGTATGTGTATGTGGTGTGTGTGTGTGTGTGTCGTTATGTATGATTATGTGATTAAGTATAAATGTGCGTGAGTGTGTATGTGTGTGTTAGCATCGTGGAACAGCCAAATTTTGTATCCTTATGTTCAAGGTATTCTTGGCTAGTGGTTGCGAGTAAATACATACACGTATCCATACGTGCGAGTGTGTGTGCGTGTGTAAGTCTGCCTGTGTGCTTGTCTATTTCGTTGTAATGCAAATATGATAATAATTAAAGACACTGTTTATGAATGAAGAAACCTCATTGTAATTTCAGCCATCACTCATCATCATATTCTTTATCTGATCAAACCGTTCTAACTTTATTTTGCTTTGAAATTTATTTCTAGTTTTAAGAATGAGTGGTGAAAAAAATGACGAAAATGATGATGATTATGAGGATGATTTGAATGAAGTAATGATGGTGATTTGTGATATGATAATGTTGTTAACGATGATGATGATGATGATGAAAGTTTATAAACAAAGTTTAAATTATAATGTTAGCATGTATGTGATGATGTTCAATGAGTAAAACGATGAAATATTGTTGTTGTTGTTTTTTTTTTGTTGTTGATGATGATGAACTAATGATATCATCTATAGATGAAATTATAACAAAATAGTTAAGATGTTGTTGTTTTTGTAGTTGTTGTTGACATTGATGATGAAATCGTAGATAAAATAATAAATAATAACGATGATAATGATGATAATAACGATAATGATACAGTGTTGTTGTTGATAATGATGACGTTGTTGTTGTTGTTGATAATGATGACGTTG